TATGATAAAAATATAAAATAGAATATTGTTTGATGCCATTTTATAATTAGTTAATACTTAATAGTTGTTATTATGTAATAAAATTATTAAAAAAATATAATTACTTAATTAATGCGAAATATAATGTAAAAGAGCGTAAAAGCAAAAATACTTGTCATAATTTTTTTACAGGCAATTATATACATTGATAGATGAGTTATTCAAGATTTAACTTATTGGAGCAAATTAGAGGATTTGAGTGAATATTATGAAGATTTGCAAGATCACAATATTGTGCCATAAAAACACAGACTTTTTCGGAAATGCAGATTCAACATTAATTTTACAATTAGAAAAAAGAATGATTTTTGGGAAATAATAATAATAATAATTGCAGTAAATTATAAATCATGTGTAAATTATATTTGGAAAATTTTTAAAAAATAAAAGAAATATTGAAAAATGGATTTTTATGTATTGTTGTTTATATAAATTAATAATTTATAAAACTATATCTGTAAATAATTTTAAAAAAATATATATTTATACGTCCATATGTGCTTGTGTATGGTTTGAGTGATGATATATTATATTAATCAATTAATAGATATAAATAAATGATTAACTTATTTCTTGCCAATATAGGATGACTATAACAAAAAAAAAATAGTTGTTGTAAATATAGCACGACATTTGAAAAGATATAAAAATATTGTAAATATTAAAATAAAATAACATAATATAATATTAATATAAAAATTGAAAGCAACTTTTTTATTGAAAATACAAGTTAATAATGTTCTTCAATTCAAATCCCATTACTCCATTACTAGCACACCAGATATGAATATTAATGATAAATCTTATTTCATTCATTTCCTATGAAAAGTGGGATTGTATCAGATCTTGATTTATTCAAATTATTTCATTTTAATAGTTCTAGTTTCCCTAAAAAAAATAATAAAAAAACTTTATATTAATAAAACTAATACGTATCTCGTGTGATGTACGGATATGAGATATTCATTAATATTAATATCTTAATATGTTCAGTAGATAATATTTAAAAATTAAAAATATTTAATCAATACGTAATACAATTTACCTATATTAATTTATTGATAATGTTATATGAAACTTAAATTGTGCAAAAATACATAAAACGTGTCTATTTAAAATTAATACATAACTCATATGGTGCATTTAACTGATAATAAGTTACAATATATTTATTTCGAAATAAGTGTCATTTTAAAAGTTGTATTCAAAAATTCGTTTTGACTACAATGTGATTCTATAAAAAATTATTTTGTGGAAAATTCTATCATATATTTAAAAATGTATGTGAATAATAATTATAATTATAAAACGTACAATTGTTTTTTTTCCTAGAAACGATAAAAAATTTTATAGATAAAAATGTACAAAAGTGCAATAATACAACCCCTAGTTGAATCATGCAACTAACACCTGAAAAAGTTGGGAGGACGGATCTAGACTTCTAGAACCGACTCTAGCAACACTAGAAACCACCACAACACTCACGACACAACAAACGCTACAGACACTACAAAGCTCCCAAAAAGGAAAATTCACGATCCCACTGGAATAATACTTGCTCTCACTCGGGCAAGCTCTGGAAAGAGAGTTGTCTCACTTAAACTTATATTGTTTAATTAATTAAAACGAATTAATTTTATTATAAACTATCATATATCTATAAATCTATTACTTTTGCAAAATGAAACTAAAATTCATCGGACGTTCAAAAAACGTCAACGTGTTCGGCCAATTTTATCCACATTGGATTCTCTCTTGCTGATTATGAATTCATAAATTACATTGAATTTATAGAGTTGACCTTTGAATCCCTTACATCGACAATATCAATTCAATTACAATTTTGGAAAAAAAAAAAAAAATCAGATGAACCCTATATTTGCAGTTAATTTCCAGATCACTGACATATGGCTGAGCACCACCCCTCATCGGAGATAGCCGCTGCCGACAAAATGGCGGTGATGGCGCTCAAGTGTCTCAGTGTCCTCTTCACCGCTGGATATTTATAGGATGACAAAGATGATGAACGCGGAGAACGAAGAGGGGACAACGGTCGGAATTTGATGCTTCAGTGCGGGGATGTTAACTAAAGGGCCGAGATGCATGGATGTGGAGGCACAATTTGATTTGCCTAATTTGTGCAGGGAAATGACGAAGGGGATTCTTGTCAGTCCCCTTAGGATGGTGGCGGCACCGTCGAACGACTCGCCGCAAAACCCACGTCGGAACCCTGTGAAACTACATTTAATTATTTTTCATAAAAATGGTTCGGTAAATTGATAAACAATTTTCTCTTTTCTATTTTATTTTCTAAGTAGATACGAAGGTTATGTTTGATAGACAAATAATCTAGCTTGTAGAATGTTTGGTTAGCTTATAAGTTCCCTGCATTCAAATAAGTTCCTTTTTGTAGAACGAGCTTTTTTCAAAATTTCGAGATTATTTGATAAGCTTCTTTGAGTGGCTTTTCCAATAAGCTCGTTGAAATTTGTATTCCAGCTAGCTTATAAACTAATTTTACCAAATATTTTTATCATATAAGCTAGTTTTTCAGCTATAAGTCATAAACTATAAGCTATAATTAAGTTAGATTATCAACTATCAGTTATAATTTATCAGCCAATTTTACCAAACATAGCCGAAAGGAATTCTGGTGCAACTTGAAATTGTAGGAAAAGTAATTGATTGAGGAAATTTTGTATCATCTGATTAAGAAAATTCAATTTGATTTATACCAATTAATTTTTAGGGTTTCATTTCGAATTTTTATTTTGAAAAAAAAAAAATGTTCAAACGTAATTTCAAGATTTAACATAAAATTTCATAAATTCCAAGTATTTATGAATTCATACTCAGTAAGAGAGGATCTAACGCGGATAAAATTGGTTGGACATGCTAGCATTTTTTGAATGTCCGACGAACTTTAAGTTCGTTTTGCAAAAATAAGACGAGGTAGAGATTATATTATAATTATCCAAAAGTTCAGATTAAATTGTCAAAAGTTGAAAGTCAATGTTTATATAGCAATTACCCTTTAAAGTACTAAAGAGTTTATAAGTTAATATTGCATATAAAAATGAAATTAAAGTATATTATTTTCTCAAGTTATTCATACAATGAAATATAGATGTATTTATATTAAAATATACTTAATATAAAATAGTAATTAGTAAGTTTATCATTTAATATTTAAAAATTTAATTCTAAAAGTATAAAAATATAAGTAAAAATTATTTTAAGAATCAAGTATATACAATATTAAAATGAGAAACTAACAAGTCATTTGTCAAGTTGCATTACGAAGCCAAAATATTTATAATATATTTTTTTATAAATTATTATAAACCAATGAGTCATCTATCAAACTGTAATAGTAAATTATAAGTTCAGAAAGAAAAAAATAAAATATTATAATATATTACAAAATATAATGACAAACCAGCAGCTCATTTATCAATCATGTAATTTTTTTACTTGGAAAGAAAAAAAAATTATAATATATATTGTTATAAACTATAATAATAAATCAACAAGCCATCTATGGAACAACAATGCAAATTGTTAGCTTAGATAAAAACTCATAATTTTTTTATAATGTACATTCCTATAAATTAAAATGATATATCTATCGGTGTACTACTGTCGTATTAAATTAAATATATTTATAACATGCTTTATTATTACAAAATATTACAGTAATTTATAACGTAAATAAAAATTAATACACTTTATAACTTTAAAATAATATAACATATATTCTTTTTAAATTAATTGTCGGTTTATGATATTTGCCATAATTTTTCAACTTTACCATTTAGGAATTAAAATAATATATTGTATAAGGTATACGTAAGAGAAGGAGAGAATGGTATTTTTATGAGCATTATTTATTATTAACTTTTGAATATGTTAAATTTCCAGGTTCTTTATTTAATTCTAAATAAAAACTCCACAATGAAAGATATTTTATGACAAGTACAATAAATATATAAATCATATATTAAACTGTTACATTTCATAAATATATTATAAAAGATAAAAAATAATATTAGTATTGAAGCTATTTCATACTAATCAATCTTCCTTCATTGTTTATATTTATACAATTTATCATTATTGTCTCGTGCATAGCACAAGTTAAAGTACTAATTTTAATATATACAACTTCATTGTTAATATGTAGCACCGCGTGTGTGTAGTACTTAGTACATGTTAAAGTACTAATTTTAATATATACAACTTCATTGTTAATATGTAGCACCGCGTGTGCGTAGTGTAGTACTTAGTACATGTTAAAGTACTAATTTTAATATATACAACTTCATTGTTAATATGTAGCACCGCGTGTGTATGTAGCACCGCGTGTGCGTAGTACTTAGTACATGTAGATTAAAAAAACATATACCCAAAACCAAACACCCGACATCCAACCCAAGAAGCAAGATCACAGCACAAAACAAACGCATCAACTAAACACCAACCCAAACCAAAAACCACACATCGAAACCAAGAAGCAAGACCACAGCACAAAACAAACTCAGCAACTAAACACCAACCCAAACCAAACACCCAACATCGAACCCAAGAAGCAAGACCACAGCTCGAGAAGCGGACAACAAATTGAGTTAACATTGTTTACCGGTAAACAATTGAAACCAGGAATTTCATCTTGTTTCAAGTCACATAAAAACTAAATATTAATAAAAGACACAGAAGTGAAAAACAAATAAATAAAGCAAACGATTTTAGTAACAAGTCCATTTTAGTCTGACACAGACAGAATCACATTATAGCAACAGCAACAGTGAGTACTACACAAGTACACTCCATACGCGGCCCCCCGTACAAGGTTTTTTTTTGTCTAACAATCCAAAAGAAAGAATTCGGTGTCTCCATCAAGAATTTTAGATAACAAATCACATCAATTATCATAATTCAGGTAAACATCATTCATCCTAATTCTAGCTCTGCACCGTGTTCATATGCCCGTATCTCTGCATCACTCTCCTAGTTGCCAGTGCCGCAGCCTCGCTTGCACGCAAGGTGCCAGTCGCCATGATTGCCGCAAACTCGCTGCTAATCTCCTCTTGTACTTTGCTTCGAGCATCTCCAAGTGGGTCTCGCGGCTCGGCAGGAGGCTTCTCTTGTGTCTCACTGCAAGTGCCAACATTTTTTTTCTCAGCATTTTGTTTGGCGGGATCTTGCTTCAAGTTTTTGGCCTTTTTGTCGTTTGTGCTCGTTGATTGTGTGTTGCCAACATTGGCAGATTTGGCAACAGTGGGTGCCTGACTTGGGCGAGCGGCTGCAGCTGGATTAAATTGAGGCGCCTGGGGCACAGCACCCGCCCTTAGGGTTGTCTCTAATTGTTGAATCATAGGCACTGCAAAGTGGAATTTATTGTCATACAGGCAATTTTACAATTAGGTGAGCTCGAGTCATTAAACCAATAAATTTTGTTAAATCAACGAGAGAAGTTCTTGGATGCTGGTTGTACACGGGCAATAATTTCTATTTTCATCAATCAGCGCAGAGGGGGAGCCAATCTTGAAAATAATAACACAATGGTTAAGTGACTTACACATGAGAGCACCCATTGGGCTGCTCATAACTTCATTTGGAAGATTCAGAATGTAGTCCGGTATAGTAGCACCGACCAGGAACTGGGCAACCTCATTGCTAAAATTGTTGCAGTTGTGGGTCATCAAACTGTATGTCTCGGCAGTATATCGGGGATTAATTTCTTCTAGGTACATTTCAAATACGTCTTTCGGAACATGAGTCACGCCAAGATCAACAACTCGGATAGGAGTTCCATATGGGGTTTTCCCAACTGGATCACTCTGTATGCCACCTCCAAAATAGTATTCACGGCCATAAACTACAACTCCAGTATGCCTGTTCGAGAAACATTCAAATCAGTACAGGTCACCAAAGACCATCTACAAAACCACACAAGGGAAAAATTTGCAACACTAGAATTAGGCACATTTTAGATTTTGTCATTCCTACAATGTTCCAACTCTTGGGCTATGTATGGTAACAAATAACTAGCTTATAGCTTATTTGGTAAGGTTATAAGATTCTTGTACTTAAATAAGCTTCGTTTAGAGAACAAACTTTTTCAAAAAGTTCAAGCTTATCTCATAAGCTTTTTTGGGTAGCTTTTCAAATAAGTTAGCTAAAATTTTCATTTCAACTAGATTATCAGCTAATTTTACCACACTTTTATCATATAAACTAGCTTATATAAGCTAACTTTTCAGCTACAACTCATAAGCTACAAGCTTGAAAATTACTTATAAGCTATAAGCTAGCTTCTGAGCTATCAGCTAATTGAACCAAATATAACCTTAAGATCAGACAATCGCCGAAAAAGAAGACAACGCAATCCAGATATAAAATTTATTGACATAAGTCAGGCTTCTTCACATCATCTTGCAAGGTGGAAGAAAGATGCAACATGTTTTGAGTTTTTATAAGAACACGTGGCTTAATATGTGCATAAATATAATTATTATGAGGAAAATTGTCATGACATCAAACACATTTCCACAATTACAAAATATTATTCAAATTGAACAAAAATGAGGGACCTTGCAAAGAAATAAACCCTCACCATATGCCTTCAATTGCCTTCCCCAAAAACGTTGTAGACAATTGTCGGGCTAGACCCTGGCTCAAGTCATACACGTTCAAAGAGACGTTGTGACCTTCCTGCAAAAGCAGGAAAGTTTTGTAGATTCATGAGTAAGCTGGTTCCTTGTAATTACAACATCATCCATCACGGTTGCAAAATAATAAACACGTACCTCAGCCATCTTTACCAGTCCGATCAGACGACTTCAATAGCCAATAAAGCAAAACTTTGTGCTGGAAAGATAGCTGACCTATAAAGCACATACAAAATTGTATTTAATAGATGGATAAGATATTAAAAGTACGAACTAGGTCATTATAAGAACCAAAGAATAATCCAAAGAAGGTTAAATCCACCCATTTGAAATATACCAAAATATAAGAGAAAAAGAAAAGGGACATCTAAGTATCACGGGTACAGCATGAGAAATTCTATCCATTAAACTTGCTTGGTATTTAGCCACACACATCAGAAAGTCAATCTCCTACTTGTTACCACCTCTTAGAAGCTGATTTCACTGCATAAGTGCATGCACGAAACTCCATTACAATTTTAATTGCATTACTAGATGCAGCACCTAGGCGAGTTGTTAAGGTGGATGGAGGAGGGAGTAAGAAATGTAGCCGACATTTCCACAGGACCACGAAAGATTGTCATAAAAACAAACTTCTTACCTCAATAACATAGTCACACTACTTTGAGACCAACATTGCCTCAATAACAAATAAAACAAACTTTAAACACTAAAATCAGTCATGAACCCAAATCACTTCTAATCAGCAAAGAATTTTAAAGGAAGCTGCTTCACGGGAAATCTGATATACGAAAATAGTCTGCACAGAGCATTAAGAATCGTACACCAATAAGAAATTATTTATTTAACGGACCAGAATTTAGCATCATCAACAGCCACATCCCAAATCCTCGATCCTAAGGAACATTCAAGAAATCACCAATTGAATCACCAAAGGGTTTAGACATGAACAAATACTTCCCAATACAAAACCCTAACCTGAAATACCCAGAGCCAGAAACAACTCTATCAGATGAACCCCTTCAAAATTCATAATAAGCAAAGAGCCATATCATTCACTTCGGAAAAAACAATGTCCAAACAACAAATTCCCCTCGGAAACAATAATGTCCAACAAAATCACCCAATTTGGCGGACAATTCAACTTAAATCCGACAACCTCAAACCCCTCAAACGTTCGTGGCAACGAGTTGGGGAAACAAAACATAGGACATCTCAGATCAAAGCCCCAGACAATTATTCTAACAGATATCACATTAACCGCAAATCAAGATCCATTAAACCACGCAAAATTAACACCAACAAGGTATGCGAAGAGGACCAACAAGAATCCAGAAAATCCAAGGAAAACAAAATTCAAAAGGCAATGTAAAGGAAATTGTGCATACCGTGTGATGCAGGGGAGAAGATTCACTGCGCAAGAATCACGATTTGCGAGCGTTTATTCTTCTGCTGCGTTAATTTGAGAGGAAAATATCGAATTTGGAGGGGTATTTATACCGTGTGATGCAGGGGAGAAGATTCCCTGCGATGACCTGGAGCTTTCTTCCTACACTTCCAGATTCTTCTATCCAATCATAGCCGAACACGTGGCCTTATTCCCTTGTTTGCTTGTTGATGCGGACAGAACATCTTTTCATAGGCTTCAAAATTGTGTTCCTTTTTTTTTGGAATATTTTTTTTATTAACCGACCATTAGTTAAACTTTTTTTTTTTTTATTCCAAAAGTAAACCATTTAATAAAACTCAAAGAGAAAACCCGTATAATCAACGGAGTACATGAATCTATATCTATATATATATAATTACTAGCTAATGGCATTTAATAAAACCTATTTAATTTTACCTATGTGGCAATCTAAATCATTTCCCTCCAAAAACCGTTACTTTTGATGTATTTAATCTTTCATTTAATTATTAAATAATCAACACTAATCACTACAAAATTACAAAAATCATTTTAAACTATTAATTACTGACAATTGACCATATAAAGTATTGGCCATATAATGTAATTAGATTTTATTATTGTGGTTACATTTAAATTAATTTATTTTTATAAAATAAAAAATGTATTTAAAATTTTTAAATAAATAATAAATAATTCACAGAAAAAAAGATGTACCAAAATATGCATTACATTCAATCAGACAAATGCAATTTTAAATAACAAATATTCTAACTTATTTAATTGTAAATTTGGCCAGCAAAAAGGTGAAAGAAAGATAATTAATCATTATATGCATACAAATAACTCACAATACTTTATTTACATATGTGCAAATGCACAGGGTCGAATACTAGTATATATAATTACAAGCATATATCATTAAATTAAACCTATTAAATTATACTTATGTGACATTTCCCGCCTAAAATTTCAGCATTTATTAAATCTTTATGCAATTGTGGACCGTTACATTTTTTCTTTAACTTTGTGTCTTACCTTAATACATTTGATTTTTGGTAATCATTAGTAATTAATTATCCCAATAATAAATAACTTACTGAATTTTTTTAACAAATAATATTTCTTTGATATTCCACAAAATTAATAATATACTAGTTTTTGGCCCGTGCATTTGCACGAAAAGCTATATGATAGAAGAGAATAAAGTAAAAAAAAACAAATATAAAAATAATAACATAATCATTGAAACAAAATAAGAAATAATATCTAAATATTATTAAATATTTCTTTATATACAACGTTCGTGGTTTTTCTATCGTCACAATCTCCATCAACACAAATTATTATCTCCAAACTCCTCCGACTGATGACTCTAGATCGTGCCACATACAATTGTCCATG